AAATTTGTTAGTTTGAATGAGTTTACAGATTTTCGAAAATATTCATTTAAATGAAACTAATATTTTTCGGATGTACAACGCCGTGTACTAAGTTACTAACCGTGATCACGGTTGCTGTAAAGTAGTCGAAACGTCGGGAGTATGTAGTTTATAATCGAAAATAAAAATCGCGTAGTAGGTACATCCGAAAATATTAGTTTCTATGTTTGTTTTCCTTCGTAAATCTTCACACATAATAGTACCTATCTACGATAGTTCAGGAATACAAAACTGAAAATATCCCTTTAGTATTATGAGAATACAATCATAAGGTAGGTACTTTGATAGGTGCGAATTTTATTGACCTATTTTATTTTTTATAAATTTTGCATTTTAAACTTCTTTATATTTTTTAAGGTTATTAAGATCTGTCAAGAAAAATATTTAAAAGAGTAATTGGAATGCATTTTCTTGATATTTTAATTTTTAATATTAGAATCGGGTTTTATAAAACGTAAATTCAAGTAGCGACGTATTTATTTAAACGAAAAATAGTGGAATATAAACCATTTATTTTTACGTTATAATCCAGGAGATTGTCGTTACATAATACATTGTATATATTAACATAAATTGTATATTCATTTGAATATGTGTTAAAAAAAATTAAATACATTTTAAAGGTGTTATTATATTAGAAAATACATGGATAATCAAAAAATATAACAATTCTCTCATTACAGAATTTGATGTAACAATTTTTTTGAAGTTATACTTCTTTTGGAGCGATGGAGAAATATGATGAGTGAATTTTCACATTTGACATCGTGAAGTTAGTTGTAGGTGGCATGTTAATAGACAACTATGTTAGGTTGTATATTTTAGTATTTTTATATTTAGAACGTGTTTCGTGACAGTACAATTAAACAGTGTAAATAAATAAATAAATATAATTTTGGTGTTTTTATTAAATTAATCTCAAATATGATTGTAATAATGTTTACTTATAATTTGTAAGTATATATATAATGAATTTACAAGCTAGAGTAAATTTGTAAATGAGCGCCATCTAGAGGACGGTGAATAAAAATGAATATGTCAATGTCAAGTTAGACGTTTCGTCATTTCAAGTGTTCCCTTGTATTCAGTGATTTATTTATATAACATTAAGCTGTAGAATGTGTGTCGTTTAATCAACTAACCACCTGTATATATAGTGTGCGTCTTTTTTGTTTGTTTTAGATACATCAACATTTTGGCATTCACGGAACGACCTCAACACCATCCTAGCTCTTAGCTTCTAGTCGCGACCTTGTTCACTCACAAATCCCTCTTTACATAGTTCAGTATAATATCGTTACACGACATTGGCGAAATCTATAAGGAAACGCCACTAATTAAAGAAGAAGAAGATTTATTTGTCTAAAAAAAAGCGCCTTATTGAAAAGTGAAAACAATAATGAATTGTTAGTTTGCGTTATGCAGCATAAAGTTTCGAAATAAAATACTAATTTATGTCTGACTTGATGTAACTCGTATTTCCAAAATATATGGAGTCCCTTTTATGATTTACACTTATAATTGATCGTATAAACACCGTTTTTCAAATCTAAACCATGAACTAAAGTTGATTAAACTTAATTCGAATAGTTTTAATTTCAGTAGGTATGTGATTTTATAGTGAACAATCAATTATAGTTATGGCAGGTACTATCTCAGTGTTTATGTATATTTGAACCTTAGAAATTTGTCTGTAATGATATTTTTTTTTTGATAGTAGTAAAATTATGAGGGGACATGAAAATTTTTATAATTTATTTACGACTTTTTAAGTTTTTTCAAATATTAGGAGTATATCTTCTAGTTTATGGTACTCTTATACACATTTTTGTTCACAGTTTAGGTTTAATATAGGTATAAATGAAGCCTTAATATTGTTTACCATTATTTTCTTTATTTAGATTTGATTATTAAAATTGAGAACCATAGTTTTGATGAAAGAATGAAGAAGTCTTACAAGTTACTTGTCTAAGGAGGAAACATTTTATTAATTAATTATTAATATGAAATCATTGACACTAGCAGCAATAACAAATATTGTATGACAAACAATTAGATAAAGAAACTTCTTGGCATTTATTAGATTCACTGTGAGGGTGCCGGGGCCATCGCATTTCAGGGAGAGGTGTGTTACAAGAATGAATTGATGCGAGTTCTGGACAGACCCAGTCTTTTAGTAGATTGTAGAGAGATTTCAAACAAGTTACTTATCACAAAATACAATATTTCACTTCTAATTGTCAATACAAGTAACAAATTTAGAGTTGAGGATTTATTAAAATATTTAGATACAGAATAAGAGAGTATATAATATTTTTAACTATGTTCAAATCACGAACTATATTTTACTCACTACATACATGTCTTTTATTAAATCACTGAAAGTGTTCTAAAGTCATCTGATAATAATGTAACATTGTGCCTTCATATGGTATTAAACAACTGCTGCTAAGCCATTATTCTACTAACAAAACAAAGTTCTCAGTTCTCAATTATATAGTGATAGTAGTATTTCTTATTTTTAACATTTAGGATATTTCTGATACCAATGATATTCACAAAAGTTTATCCTTTGATGTTCTTAAATATTGTCTATTTGGAAGTACATTTATTTTCACATGATAATATTTAGATCTAATTTTAAACATAGTTCCATTTAGATAATATCTTGCACATCCCTAAATGTTACATCCATACTGAATTAGTCAAATCTAATAATTTTATTCAAAACAAATCACTCCTTGTGTTAGATTGTGTGATTGTGTTAGAGCTTTGGACTTTGCAATAAACATAAATTGTACAAATTAGGCACTTTGTAGACCAAATCAAGTCTTTATACACATTACAATTAGGACCTTAACACTTTCACTACAAGATTATTTTGAAAAATTAACTAGAATTTGTATGTATCTATCTATCAGCGAAATATGCTATGGCTCACATTGACAATGGCAAAGAAAAACAACGAAGTAGCGTAATCATTCTCCAAATATTGGTAGGTAATGCCTGAAAGAATATATAAGGTTGGGGAAAAAGAAATCCATTATTTTTATGTGAACTTCAAGACTTTATTTAACATGTTTTGCATTGTCCGATTTAGGTCAAATATGCACCATTTTGTTCTATAATTTGTTGCCATTTTAATGGTAGCTTCATTATGCCTCTCTCATAAATGTCTTGGTCCTTATTAGCGAAAAACTCCAGCAATTGATTTTCACACTCTTCCCTTGATGCCAATTTCTTATCACTAAAAAAGTTTTGCAATGCAAGAAAAAGATGGTAATCGCTTGGTGCGAGGTCCGGACTGTATGGTGGATGCATCAAAACTTCCCAACCAAGCTCCTGGAGTTTCTGACGAGTCACTATAGAAGTGTGTGGCCTGGCGTTGTCCTGATGGAACACGACACCTCTTCTGTTGGCCAATTCTGGTCAATTGCTCGCTTCAGACGGTCCAGTTGTTGACAAAAGATGTCTGAATTTAATGTTTGGCCATATGGAAGCAACTCGAAATAAATGATTCCTTTCCAATCCAATATTATAATAATTCATTGAACAGTCATAAATGGTTAGTAGTTTGTTGGGTGTTTTAAATATGGCCTTCATGCAAAGATGTGTAGAATGGAGGACACACGATCTGGGATAAACTTATGAAAATAATAAAATTTAACAGATTCGACTGAAGTCACAATTACGAACTTTGTCAGTACATCTATAAGAAATAACAAATGGTTTGTCGTTACTAAATACTGCCACCTAGTTTATTGTGACATAAATATCACTACGACGTTGCATTGACAAATGTACCTAAAGTCTAAACACCGGACAGATCACAGTCACACGATGAAATTATTTATTAAATAGATTTTAAAGAAAAAAAACTTTAATGTATAGACCATATAATAAAGATGTAATTTATTTAACATACCTAAAATTATTCTATTTTATTTCTTAACTCGATATTTTATAAATTGATCTTCATTAACTTACGTGCTAGCATCGATCTATGTTGATAATTAATTAATGCTTTTCAATTATTGTTATTTAATTACTTCTTAATTATTATTTAATTGTGAAACATTATTTGTATTTGACCGAATTTACTATTTACCAATGTTTACTTTTTTAAATTACTTCTTACTAATGTTTTTTTTGTTATTAAATATCGTAGCAATTTATTTCTTCTTAAAAATTGATAATTGCATTTTATCACCATTTACACCGCGTTTAAAGTTTAGGCGTATGGTTACATATAAAGCCTGGATATATTAATAGCGAACAATCAAGAACAAACAATTCAAAGGCTAAAAGGTCAAAAATGGCAAAAAAATATAATTTTTGTGTTTCAACTTCGGAGAGAACAAAATTAAATACGCTTAAAAATTAATAACAACAGATAATACATTTTAATTTGTATTATTGGATATTAAAGAATTGTAATTAATGTAATACGCTTCAAATAAAACAACTTGAATTTGTCGCTTCATTTCACATATACTTATGTCCAATATAAAATAAATAAAACACATTATATAAAAAGTTGCAACACTTGTGATTTAGCTGTATAAATTTACGGTCTTTGGCAATCTCTATACGGGAAATACCCGACATACGAGATTACATCGAGCTGTCCAATAACAGGTCAGCTGTGGTTTTGAGTGCCCTGTGATTGGTTCAGTATTGGTTCACTAGAAGAAATAGGTACTGAGAATTAATACACAATTGGCATTTGGCATTAAGGTACTGATATTACATACAGTTACATATTCTTTGTGTTGTTAAGTGATACTTGAGATTAGAAAACAACATAAACTGTACATTTTTTAACAGTGACATTTTGTACCCTAAGTCTTTCATATCAACTTGTATATAAAAACAGTACAGGTATTTATCCATAATTTTTTCTCTTTTTATTAGTCACTATTATATTGTTTATTATTATTATTATTATTTTGTACCATAGAATGAAGAAGTTTGAGTTTTCATCAAGAAATAACGAAAGTGAAGTATTTTCGGGTCGAGATTTTTACAATGTTTATAAAGATGCGGAGTTCCTGCGTCACAGTGAAAATGTAGAGGCCATATTAGCGAAAGGATATGAATTAAGGAATATGTTGAAGCAGGTCAAGCCAGGGGAACTAGTTGCTTTAAATGGAATGATGCTTGAACGGAAGTAAGTGTTATTTAATTATTATTTTTTATATTATGTTAAATGTTTTGAAACTTTTGGTAATATAATTTTTTTATTTATAGCACTCCTTTGTTCGTAAAGAAAACAGGACCAAATATTTCAGTTGAGAACTATGAGTTTACTGCAAATCGTCTCAGTGGCTTGGCAGCTGCTTATGCGTTTGAGAATAGATATAGATTTCCGATTCTGACATCAACTGAAGCCCAACTATTGGGATTAGCTTGGGATAATGGGAATATGCAAAAATGTAAATTGTATTTATCAGCTGTAAGTGGCACAGAACACTTTTATGATCAGTTTCAATTTTGGCCTCTTGTGTGTGCTCTGCGTAAACTCCACAAAAACAAAATGCCAAAGGAACCCATAATTAAAATGGCTAAAATAAAAAATCCATGTGGTACAAGAATGGTTCAAGATATGATGAACAACTTTTCAGTTGTAAAGAAGCAATGGACTAGGTTTCCATCGGGGACAACACATGAGTTAGTACAATTACTGGCATTATGTCCTCAGGAGTTGAAAGTTTTATTTTCTCAGAAGTCTTGAAAATATCTTAATTTTTTAAAGCTGACTCTCCTTTCAATTGATACTATACTTGATAGAAAGGATTTTTTATTTGGGACAATTGTAATATTTTGATATCTCTTTTCAATTATATTCCAGATTAAATATTTTTCATTAATATTATACATACTTTGTTGAACTTCATAATAATTAACATTATTTCTTTATAATTCATAATTATGTAGTATTCAATAAAACTATATTAACATTGTCATGTATGGATTTTTTTTCTGAGAAGCAAACTGGATGACAGCAACTAATATAGTAAAGTAATCTAACTACATTACACTTGACATATTATTATTTTAACAATATCGAGCAAACATAACTAATATATAACATTATTTATTTATTGTGATAAATTATTCCTTTATACCAATTCAATCTAATGTACCTATTTCATAAATTTAGTTTAGAATTTTGGCAGTGTTTTGTATAAAATAGTGATTTAATATTTTTAAATATTCAGGTCTTGGACATTGACAATAATAAATAGCATTTAAATTGTATGTTTTTTGTTCACAAAATTTATTGTAAATTGAATCATACATATTACCTTGTAAATTAAAGTTAGGATCAAATTATATCTTATCTGTATATAATATATTCTTACACTGAAATCTAAATATAAAAAAACTGATTGCATTAACACTTGTAACGAAAACATTCTGCTAGAATATACATTTTCTCAGACATTTTGCTGAGTAATCGCAATATATCAATATTCTTTCATAATATATATATGTATATATGAGATTTCCACCCATAGATTGACTCATCCCGATATCTCTGGAACCATAAGGCATAGCGACTTGAAATATGGTAGGATTATTTCTTTCGCCGAGTAGAGGACAGCTAAGAACAGATTTTACGAAATTCCACCTACAAGGGGTGTTGCGGGGGCGATAACAATGGAAAATACGCTTTCACGCCTAAACCACTGAACTGATTTTAATGAAATTTGGTACAGAGATGTAGTTGATCTTGAGAAAGAACATGGGATAGTTTTTATTCCAGACTTGAAAGGTTCTCTTGGAAACGCGATATAACAGGACTCCACGCGGGCGAAGCAGCGGGCGGAAAGCTAGTAAAACATAAATAAAGTACAATTTAATATTTTAAAGCATTTTATTAATTTCAAAAAATATCTAGTACATAATCACGCAGTACTTCTAATTCATTATACTATGAGATAATACACACAGATAGCGTCGGGCTTCCATAATATAACTGACATACATTTTTAGATTTCAACTTGAATGAACAAAGTTATCATTTGTCTTATCAATACCCGCCCAATGGAACATTACATGGCTGTCTATATAACTATATGTCACAATATATACAGTAATTTATATCTACCTACTTATACATACTTTACAAGTTACTAATTCCATTACTAAATACTTTATTTGTTCCTGATTTAAATGAAATCTGACCGAGTTACACAAGTTTACAACAGATATTCAGAGATATTGGTTTATATTAAAAACGAAGACTAGTTAATGCCGTGCCGTTAAGGATAATATACTATAGAAATTTATAATCTTATTTTAAATAGAAATTTATTATTTTAAAAACATCAATATTTCTTTTTCTATCACATGTTCGTTCGCTACATAATTTACTTAACCAATTTTGTATTTTAATTATCATTCACATATACTACATACATTTTTATCTTTCAAACTCTTGTTAATCATTTTTTTTCTATACAATAAATTCGTTCTTACAAACCCTACTGTATTATCAAATCAAATCTTTTATAAAGATCAATATAACATTACTGTAAGGTGTGTTACTAGTGATTTTCAATATATAGAAATACTGCTTAAATATATATTTATATATAAAAAAAATAAATGTACAAAATATATAAAGATAAAAATTCTCCAAGTAATATATAAATTAGCTTTAAAACCGATAGTGTTTTAGGTAATACTGTATAGATACAATGAAATCGGCAAACTGGCACATAGGCGAAAAAATATAACACTAGAAAAAAAAAGTATCTAATAAAAAAATAATTCAATTCCAAATAAAAATAAACGTATATAATATTAATGAGTAATTATAGTCGAGTGTAAGCACTGCGGTACAACATGTCTGTAGGGTAGTTTGTAATTCTTGACGGTGCGTGCGGCTAGACATTTGAGCGTCGTGTATTTTAAAGGGTTTACTATGGATGAGAGCGTCTGTTGGGTGGATTTTAATATTTCTTCGGGAGTTTCGCCTTCATAGTTGACGGTATCTATGTGAGCTCCGTGAGATAGTAACTCGCGAACCACTTCAGCGGGGCACGGGTTCAACTGGAACAAATATATATAATATTAATATGACGTACTCTTTATTTACCTAGACTCTTATATCTCACTAGAAGACCCGGCGAACTTCGTGTCGCCCTATAATCAAGAAATATCTGTTACGTTTTTTTATTTATTGTTTTGGAGTTTTGAAGTGCGACAGAGTGATTGACATATTAGTTAGTTGTCAAATCTAATGTAAAAAAAAACGTTTGTATCAACAACTACTAATAAATTAAAAAAACATTGTCCAGCGGACAAAATTGTGAATCTAAACCATTCCCAGATCCCCTTGAACACACAGAAAAAATTTCATCAAAATCGGTCGTTTGAGAGAAGTTCAGTGACATACACACTCACAGAAGAATTAATATGTACTTTTTATTTATCTAGACTCTTATATCTAATTTGATCAGTGAGTAAAGCTTTATTTCGGTTAATGGAAATGAAGTGATAGTGGCGAACCAATTATCTAATATCGCTTACATAGATTGGATGTATTGAAATTGTAAATGGAAATAGTTAAGGAAGGGGGATTAGTCGTTTGATCAGGATGAAAAAAAGATGTGAAACTAAAAAAGATTCCTTTGATACGGACAGAAGTCGAAAAGCGCATTAAAGAATTTAATTCAAAGACTCTACCTTCTAATACTTCACATACAATTGAATCTGTTACAATTTCTATATATTACGCTTGCTCTACTATTACTAGAAAGGAATACTGAACATTAGTTTATTTAGAATTATAAACAAGAATAGTGGTAAAGCAGGCAATAATTTTCTTAAGACGGCATTTATGTTTTCGTTTATTAGACAACAGTAGCCGTATTTAGTTTTAGAGCTTCACTGTTTCCTATGAGACCTATTAAATTTGGTGTCTGAAGGGCCCTGATGTATGATTCTTAAAGCGTCTCTTAGAAACTCGACCTTGACTTATGAGAGATTTGTAAGGAGAGGGTAGCTTTGGGGGAGGTGAAAATTTGTATCATATATCCTAGTGCGCTTAGAAGCCAGATCTTACTTAGGAAGTTTTCGGAGGATATAATTATAATCTTTATATATATAAAAATTTCGTGTCACGTGTTTGTCCGCGATGGACTCCTAAACTACTAAACCGATTTTAAATTTGATTTGCATCAAAATCCAACTTGAAAGATAGGATAGCTTACATCTCAATTTATAGTCACAATATTTATTTTATTGCAAATTATTTGTCTATTAAAGAAAATTATTTGTCATTATTACAATTATCTGTTGACTGAGTTAAGTAAGTATTCAAAAGATGGCGCTATGTTAAAAACACAAACGTCATATATGAGCGACTATTTAATAATAGCATAACCACTACGTGTTTCTGAGGCCAGTGCCGGCGTTAAAGGGACTGACACCCTGAGCAAGAATATTTTGGCGCCCACTTGAAGAAATCAAAATCGAGTATTAATTTTTTTCTGAACCAATGTGAACACTGAACGTGTATTAAGAATTCTATATTCCATCTACCATCTTCCATCTTTCCTTTAACGTGACCCAGAGCTAACGACGTGGACGTAGAAAGTTATGTAGCTCCCATTTTTTTTTCATTTATAAGTATTCTACCTCCACTAATCCTCCCCAAATTTGGCGCCCTGGGCCGTCGCCCCATCGTGCCCCCCCTAACGCCGGCACTGATTCACATAATATATACCTTGCATACTAGATGTAATGGCGTGTTTCCGTCCGCGTCCCTCACGTCCGGCGCCGCTCCAAGTCTCAGCATGAGTGAGACGAGCGCGGGACAAGCTGCCTCGGACCACGAGCCAGCCTCCGAGCCTCGCCCGCGACCAGCCTCTGACGAACACGCTACGTGCAGCGACGAGCGACCTTGACGGACCTGGAATAATATACATTATACAGGGTGACTGGTGAATTAGTATCAATATTTAAGGAGAATACTCGGTACATGATTCTCATTCGAATTATGTAAAAAAAATAGGCACTTAATTTTTGACAAAGTTTCCGTATAAATAAATAAAGTGTTGACACGTTCCAAGTGTTCCAAGTGTGGACGCGTGCGGCGGCGTAGTGTTGTATCAGCAGTATGTGTGTGTGAGTGTATATCTAATCTGTAGGGTGTGCACACGATGCGTAATTAATTACATAACTTTTGGTTAACTTTACTTAGAAGTTTATTAATATTTATGTTATATTAATTTTTATTTTGTCATATATGATCGTCAAATATCACGTCCTCAAGTATCGATAGTAATTCACCAGTCACCCTGTACATATAACAATAAACATCAAATATATATTTATTATTTATATAACAGTAACGTGAAGCTAAGTCAGTAGTGGCAATAACCATTTAAACCAATTATTTTGCTACACATACATTACATAGATTATAAAGAAGAAAATAATTAAATTTAAAGAATACAGTGTAGGAGCAAGGGCTTCATCTCAGTATAAGCTGTGCTATTGCACAGCACTGATTTTCTGATGGCCCCTGACTATTGGGTAAACATACACAAATGCGCGTACACGAAATTAAATAACTGAAATTCTTCTTCTTCTTCTTCCTGGCAATTTCCCAGCTTTAGCCAGGGTCTGCCTTAAATAAGTGAAATTATCCTGGCTAAAGTTTGAAAATTGCCAGGTCGAAGAAGTAAAGCTAAAGCCAAACGAAACTAAACGAAAAATCTTAGCATTCAATGGATTCACCGTTGTCGGGTCCATCATTACAGGGAGAGGAGCTTCAACAGTGCCTGGGACTTGCGACCTAAGTGTAGGTTTATAGCTTAATAAATATCTATAGATACAGTATGTACCAACCTTAATGTCTAATTTGACCAGTGAGTAAACAGCCTTATGTATCTTCCTAGACACGTCGTCGGTGCACCCCGGCTCCTCCAGCAGTCTTGCCATGAGCGCAGCAAGGTGTAGAGATATAACTAGCACTCGCTGTAACGTCACTAGCGTCTGTTCTCTGTCGATACTTAATTTTGATTCTAATAACTCCATGCCCCTGTCTATTTCAGACAACGCCTTCACGAACACTGGATCAATGTCCTCGAACGTCACCGGTGGAACTATACGACCTGGAAGTCAAACAAATATGTTAATTATGACATAAATATCTTTGACATATCGTGACATCTGAGAAGCACAGAGTAGTAAATCAACAGAGGCAAATGATGATGATACGTAACTAGCGTTGCTAGGAGTCCAGATAGAGCCGGACATAGTTAGGCTTTTTGATTGCATGTCCGGCCAAAATAAACGGTGTCCGTCTTTTGTTAGGCTTTTTACATTTCGTCGCAAATCAATAATAAAGTCTGATCTGGCATTCGAATCTATCTAAGACTGATTTGGCATTCGAATTGTTTATTATTTTACTAGAAATTAACAAGATTTATGATAATAATCAAAAAGATTTCATTTTACATAAAATTTTTGTCGTACCTATTAATACTAGGACAAAATCCTCAATAATATAGGGTGTCCGGCTTTTTTAACCAAATGTCCGGCCAAACTGGATGGTCTGTCCGGCTGGCTATTAGGTTTGGCGACCTGGCAACGCTATACGTAACTAACACAGAGCATTAAATAAACAGAGGCTCACCTCTAAGCGGCGGTCTCGTCCGTTCAGCCAGCATGTATGAGAACAGCTCCGCGAAGCTGTACAAGCTGGACTGTGTGAGCGGAGACAGGGGAGGGAGCACGGCTCTCTGCATGTCAAGGGCGTGGTGCCACAGAGTACGACAGCGACCGAAACGACCCGCGTCCGCATACACAGCGCCTCGGTAACGGACGTAGTATGACGTGTCCGGGTGGGCGGGGCCTGATTTGGGAGAGGGAGAGTTAGATTAAATTGTATTAAATATTTTATCTATTAAAAATAAATATAAAATTTTTCGTATCGTTTTCTTTCTACATTTAAGATTTAATACTTTTGAGCCATTTGTAACATCTTTATAAAGAACACGCTATCTACCGTAGCTGAAACTTGTTATAGTTAATCGTACATAAGGCATCCACGACACAAGCTCGCTTAGTGTGGACGCCCCTGGCAATCGCGCCATGTTATCACTTCAGCAAAATATTGTTATGTTTGTAATTGCGTTCCCTGTTAACATTGAGTTATTGCTGGTAATAAAGTATTTTCATTTTCAATATTTTAGCGTATACATATGAAATTGTTAACAATTAATTTTAAACAAGCATCCACTTAGAATACAAATTTCTATGTAGTGTAATGCTCGAACGGCGGGCACACACTGCCATAGCCCTTTACGAAACCAAACTAGTGGAGTGACGTCATGTTATATGATAGGTGTGACGTCATGATGGTGACGTCATCTCACCGAGTATCCTTTCGCGTATGACGAGTGCCTGCATCCTCATAGCGTCAGGATCAGCCAGCAGTTCCTCCAGCTGGCGAGCATCGCCGGGCTCCACAGCATACTCATAAGCTTCTATGCGAGGAACGTCCTTCGGCTTTGGGATTGGTTCGCGATCGTCGTCTGGAAACCTGTAATATATAAGAACAAACATTTAGATAGATAGATAAATAAGAACAAACATTTAGATATGATTCAAACCACTCGCGGTAATATATTGACTATGATTTTCGTTTATAGACCAAGATATATGTTAAACCGTAAATTGTAATCCTGAGTGATATAAACAAACTATACCAACATTTTTGTTTATTCAGAAAATCATGTCTCACAAGCTATACATAGATTTATTGTATCTAGTAAGTTTTGGAGTAAGATCTATACATTATGTAATCTATATTGAGTTAGCCTGTAAGTGATGATACGCATGTAAACAGTTATGTTCCATCATGTTATAATGTTATAAGTTTTTGTGTATCACGTTGGCTTCCTATAAAATAAAATTAAAATAAAATGGCGCTGTCTTTCTTACTGCCAATTTTAAGATTTCTCTGAATAAAATTCCGCAATTTTAAGCTAATACATAACAATTACCTGTATGCCATAGCTCGTTTCCATAGCGCCAAAGCTCCAACCATATCCCTCCTTTTATCAACGTAAGTAGCTCCAAGTAGTTCCAATGCGTCTATTCGTTCTTGTCTCGTCACAAGTCCATGTTCTATGTTGATGAGGAGCTCCACTATGTGAGTGTGACCGGTCACTGATGCAGCCAGTAGCGGTGTCATGCCTAAAAACATTAGAATAGTGTGAAATTACAATTACATAGTAACGCCATCTAGTTTTAATTTATTGAAAACTTTTGTAAGGAGATTTAAAGTTTTGAATGGAATAGCATAGGGTTTATATTAATATGGATTTTTTTAGTTATTTGTAAGAAACACATAGTTTAATTTAATGGAATAACATAGCACAATAATAAAATATGAAAAACAAAATACCTTCATATATATCAATTTAGATTTTATTATTGTAGAATATATTACATTATATTATTATCACCAGATTACTTAAGTTATGTTATCTGATCAGAATGTATGAAAACACTTGATATATATGCATTCGATGTCCAATTTTATTTTGTTATTATATACACAACTAGGTTCCGCCCGCAGCTTTGCCCGCGTGGAGTTCGGTTATATCGCGTTTCCAAGAGAACCTTTTAAAAGTCTGAGATAAAAACTATTCTATATTCTTTCTCAAGGTCAACTCTATCTCTGTACCAAATTTCATTAAAATCAGTTCTGTGGTTTATGCGTGAAAGCGTAACAGACAGACAGACAGAGTTACTTTCGCATTTATAATATTAGTAGGGAAGTATAAACTCGACAATGAACGATCCGTATATTATTAGATTCACATGTCAACATTTAGCATATAATACTTTTCATACCACCAGTATGTTTATATTCCGTCTCTCTCTTTCTATGTCTGTCTCACTCCCACTCATACAAGTATCCTCACCATACGAATCCACGTCCATAGTAGCGCCGTGTGCTAGCAACATCTTCAGTATATGCAGCGAGCCGCTCTCAGCACAGTCATGTAGCGCCGTGTTCCCCTTCACACTCTTCCTATTCACGTCAGCGTTCAGCGAGAGCAGATACTTAGCTATCTGTATGTGACCCTTGTAACAGGCTATCATGAGGCAGGTGTGACCGTGGCGATTTGCTATCTCGATATCTGGGAATGAAGAATACTTTTATACAGGGTGACTGGTGAATTACTATCAATATTTAAGGAGCATACTCGGTACATGATTCTCATTCGAATTATGTAAAAAAAATAGGTACTTAATTTTTGACCAAATTTCCGTATCAATAAATAAAGTGTGTACACGTTCCAAGTGTTCCTAGTGTGGACGCGTGCGACGGCGTGCTGATACAACAACACGCCGCCGCGCGCGTATGTGTGAGTGTGTGTATACCTAATCTGTAGGGTGTTCATACGATGCGTAATTAATTACATAACTTTTGGTTAACTTTACTTAGAAGTTTATTAATATTTATGTTATATTAATTTTTATTTCGTCATATATGATCGTCAAATATCACGTCCTCAAATATCGATAGTAATTCACCAGTCACCCTGTATAAACAGAAACTCAATAGAATGTTCCATTTTCCAAAGGATTGATAGGTTTTTTGGAGATTCGCTATACGAACATCGGGAATGTTCTTATAGAGAAGAGACTGGTGTTGAAATAATCAAAAATTGTATTAAAAATGCTGGACTGATAACATATTTTTTGTATTGCGAAGAAAGATTTTATTGATATTCTTGTGGATCTACCCTCGCACCTGAGCAACTTCGAATGTAGGGTATATAATAATATCTCTTAGTCTCCACTTTTTAACATTGAACCTTTGTTGAAGATTTTTTATATCAATAAAAGTTACAGATATCTTCAACCAAGAATATACAGAGGAAATTACATGACTACAAAAAAGAATATCTGTCCTATAGAGATAATTTCCATCTGTACAATTATTTTGACACGTAATTAATGTCGCTCATGTAAAAAGCGTTATATGCGTTTTTATTCTATTCTAATAAGTCGTTTCTATAAAACTCACCGGCACCGTTCTCAACTAGGAACTTCACTATATCATAGTGTCCATCGAAGCAGGCTGCCCTAAGCGGCGTGCTGTGTGTACGAGTTGTTGAGTTCACGTTAGCACCAGCACGCACCAGGAGCCTCACTAGCGGCATGTGACCAGCAGCAGCCGCGCACCACAATGGAGGAGCGCCCTCTATCGTCTCCCCATCGAAAGTCACTGTTTGGTAAAGAGTAACATGTTAATTAAAAACGATTTGTTCGGCTATTTTACAGACCTTTCGCTTTAAAGGAGTTTAAAAAGATAAACAGAACATGATTACATTTATATTTTGATGACTTAGTAAGGCATATTTAGATATTTAGTAATAAATAAAGCACTTCTATATTGTTGATTAATAACTGTGCGTTTTATTTCATACAATGGAAATCTATTTTTGATTTCGAATTGTTTTCTGTATTAAAAATGCGCAGTGTATTTCTTCATGTTTTTTTATTGTCATTTTAATTTATATATAGCTTACATAAATCTAATTTTATTTACAAGTAGTTGTTAAATTAATTCTCAACTACACGCTATTCTTCTAAAGTTTATGTTTTTAAATTATTAAATATTTAATATTTAAAAATGTCGCCTTAGAAACAAATATATATTTTTTGATAGTTAAAGAGTCACAATCATATTAAGTAATTAGTAATTACTAATATTGTTTGAAATCATTAGCAAAATATTATTATAAATTAATAACATAAAAATTTCTATTAAAACAACTGGCAAGGTATCAAATTTATAAATTATATTTAAAAGTCCAATATATGTATATGTACGAGAAGAAATTCAAATAGTAACTATTGAAAATGAATAAGACATTTGTAATTAAATGTAATATATCTCACAATAACACAATTTATGATCGAAAAAAAATATTATCGCTCGTAAAACAATAGAAACATCTCTTGGAGACAAATAGATTTATTTTGAGATAGAAACAAAAATTTCCATAAACACGACTATGACAGTTTCTTCATCCATACAAATATATATAAAATCATATTTAAATGAAAAGGTGAGATGGATTTGAGCCAAGTCCACACGTGAAAGTGTATGCGGATGTTAAAAACAATAAATACGTACATTATATGAGAAGTGTATTTTACGGAGACGTATCATTAAAGAGAATTTAAGGTCACCACCTGTATAGTCATTTACGAGGAAAAAATACACCTCAAGACCTACGGAAGTAATTTGGGACTCAGGAGACGAACTTGTATTTATATGGAAAGAACTAAGGACGTGTATTGGTAGAAAATGAACTACATCAAGTCGATGAACTGTTACCAGGAAATTTAAACGCGACATAATAGAATTGTCTGCGATTGCGAGGTCAAAGAACATTGCATCCTGCGGAAACTATAACATAGAACTAAACGATTTCGCTAGTACATATATTTATATGAAGGAATCATTTATCATATTATTAATTAAGATAATAAACTTATTTGACTTTCGCCTATAAAATCGTTTAAATATCGAAAATTTTATGGAGTAATTTGAATCATGACTTAGTATGAATCATAGAAGGATGTAAAAACTTTAGAAATTTTGGTATGCGTAATGAACTTGAAGAAATATTTAACCGATGAAGCCGCGTCTCTTTTGTAATATAATACAACTGTTTTCATTTTAATTCCGACTGCATAGTGCCGGTATGTCTTTCTATCCGTTGGAAAGAATAAACCAAGCTAGTATTGTACGTAAATATTATTTATTAATATATACATATGTGAGAAACATCTACTGTAGTATTAAAAAAAATAGTAGTAGTAGAAACACATACAGTAGAACTCCAATTATCCGAACTCCGACTATCCGAATCGCCGATTATCCGAATCACTTTCAGAAAAAAAATTGTCCAAAAAAGGTCTAATTCTTCCCCCCGGGAAACCAGTGTTTGCGCGTTCGCTCACTATTGTCCTTCCCACCGCAAAGTCAGTGTAGGCACAACCGCAAGTTAAGACCGCAAAACAGCTTACATTGACGAAGATGTTTAAAAAACAATGATTTTTATTTCTAAACTTGTACATAAGTACAATTTATTTATATTTAAAACATGTGAAAATATCATGTTTCTTTCATTTAATTCAATAAAAAAATAGCGCAATATCAAAACGTAACTTTTTTCTCTCCAATGGCAATTTAAAAAAAAACTCCGATTATCCGAATATTTGATTATCCGAATGGGTCCCGGTCCCCATTAATTCGGATAATTGGAGTTCTACTGTACTATCTGATTACTACCATTAAACTGAAATAACTAAAGACTATGGTTTTAAATAAATATATATCATATAGTTTTATGTGTATAAAAGACTTTTTATTAAATTATCGCTATCAATAGTCATCAATAAATAAATTCTTTTATTAAGCGTGTATTTTTGTATGAAATGTATATATTTCTAACTTACCTGAGCCGGGTTGTTCAATATCAGCCTTGCACCTCTCTATGAGGTATTCGGCGACGTCGTAGTGTCCGTTGCGACAAGCTATGACGAGGGGCGTAGCGCCCGTCACCTTCGCCCCAACCAGCATACTTAGCTCGTCTGAACGCCAACTGTGCAGGTACATCTGGAATTAACATATATCGTATTATATTTTAGGTATTATCACCACGAATTCAAATTGTATTGAATTTTTGTTAATGATATCTAAGACTCGCTATTCATTTAATTGACAATAATATTTTCGGATTTCTACGCGTTATTTTTTTGTTTCCATTTGTCCTTTTTATTTTAAAGTAACATGTTTAACAATGAAATAATATAAATTGCATTTCATTCGTTTTGAATGAATTAATGAAACAAATTTGTATTTTATGTATAGGAGGACCAAGCCTTAATTTAGTCCGTCTGTTTGTGTGTCATGCGCCTTACTCATACATATTTCACGGTCGGAATTCAGCAAACAAGTTATCAAGGATATCAGAAACAGTATTTTCCATAAAGATGTAATTGTACATCAAAAACAACGTTTGTGGTAGGAAGCCTTGTAATAGGTATGTTTATTTAAATTAACGTCTTTTTGCTTACGCTCCAACCTGTTTCTGTACATATTTTTAGTGCCAAATTGGCAGTGCAAGTGTATTTCAATGAAATCCGTCAAGTGTGAACACAGTAGTAATACGTGTGCACACATATAAGCACACACACACATATATACAACCACATACTCTCTTATACGCGTATTTATGAGTATAAATGATTTTACTTCAATAACTATATATTCAGACTTATATTTATTCATTTTAATTTCCAAATCGATATTAATTTAGTATGTATCTATATTTAATACTTTCAACAGTACAATTGGCAGGTAAAGTAGAAAGGTCATTGAAATATTCTCACTAAAAAAAACAGCCGTTCATTGACACAAATCTGACGCGTTTATAAAGCAAAAATACTTCGTATATTACATAATGATTCTCAATTAATTTCATTTCGGACTTTCCGATGTGAGTAATGAAACGCATCATGCAACACGTCTCAATGCTATAACAATGTCAGTTAAAACGACATACTTTCGTAAACCTTGAACCTTTGAAGTATTCATATAAAAAAAAAAATGAATAAAATTGCACTATAATGCATAAAACCCTGACAGTGAAAAAAATATGCAACAATTAAATCTACTTGAGAATTTTATTGTACTTTTACGTAACATCTGTTTACACGAAAAAAATTACATTATTATACAATGAGTAAAATTTAATACAATTTTTCATTTAACACATGCGACTTGAATCACCTTTCATGACATTACTCGTACTATACTGCTGGTGGATTTTTGATCGTTTTTTACAATAAAATTCACAGATATTTTAAATACAATATAGCCATTTATATCTCTATATATAGTCTCGTTTCATTTTGTATATATCACATCGTAGCAATAATTATTATGTTAAACAGAGCAGTGTAACAACCTTAACGGGTTTGCTAAGATTTTGCAACGCCAATTCAATCGAATCGAAATTATTTACTGTTATTCTATTACAACGAAAAAATATAGCTATTTATATCGTTCAAATAATATATATATTTAAAATATTTCAAAATTATTTGAATTTTACAGGCAAATTAAATGAGGTTAATATATATTTTTATTAAAGAGCCATAGACTATATGCGACTTATTATATAGTATATGATATATGTTAGAAGAAATGAAATCTAATTGTCAGATTAACCGTCAATTTTGAATACAAATTCTTACTAAGGGTACTGTTAACATAGCAGCGAATGATTTCGTAACTATTGCCACAGCGTTATGTACTCACTCGAGCGTCTACTAACGGACAATAAACTTAAATTTAGCCTGTACTATCAAATGAAATAGAAAAAGACACTATATTTTTAAATGAATAAAGTCTTTAAATATTCCAAAGAGAGGTATTTCTTAACACTTAAGACGAATAAGTTATTTATTTTGAGTTCGTTTATACAATAAATATAACTCCATTAAACAAATAATTGCTTTTAAAACTTAAGAGATTTGAAATTGTCTTTAGATTTTAAAACAAATTATTGACATAATATACAAATAAACATGTTTTAATATATAGAAGCTGTAGGAGAACGATAGCTCAATTGCAAAAACGACTAAAAATCGTTACGGAAGTAGCAGATTCAAATACTGTATATATACGTACATATATTTGAATTTAAAATTATTTTTTATTTATATTTCATTCAAGACGGCTTAATAAAATTATATAACTGGCTAAAAAAAATAAAAAAATATTAACCAAAAGCATTATGAATATTATAATAAGGTGTTTTATAACTCAATTAAAATAATAATTCACTATTTCTTGTATAACCCACGAGAAGAATAGTTCAAAGGCATTATGTAGACTTCGGAAAATTTCATGTCATTAATGGATTGAAGGAAAATTACAGTTTTACCAGATATAAGTACAAGTAAACAAACATAATTTTAACATCAAAATATTCCATAACAAAAGCTGCTTATAAATATTATATATATAATAAATCCTATGGAGAAGGTTAGTCTTAAACGTAGGTATAAGAAAAACAATATGTCTATGGATGTGTGTATGTATGTATGTATGTTCTGTGTGTGTGTGTGTGTGTGTGTGTGTGTTTTTGCAAGTTTGTCTAATTTTCAGTATAATACAGTTAGCACAGACTAGCACCCATAAAACAATAGCCACAAGTGTCATCGGGGCCAGGCCGCTCTCATAACGGGAACCTAACAACTAAAATGTTGAACTATTAACCTGAATGTTAAGAACGCAAATGAAATATTCCAAGCTAAAACACAACTTCAAACTCTATACAAATTCTATACACTTTTGACATTGTTAATTATACGAGATAAAATACCGCAAAAATCTCAATGACGTTCATTTTAATTCGATAAACGTCCTCGAATTAAATCGTTTTATAATATATGTGTATATTATAATATTTTTATATGTAAAAATCGAATAAAAAATGTCAATGTTACTCACGAAAATCTTAGTTGTATTATGGCTACGCTCTTAGTGTTCCTACAATACGAAAGACGGATTCACACTGACATCGAGTTGGTTTATTTGATTTAAAATTAAACATTTTGAGACAATGAACCCACGGGATCTGTTTCACAATGAGCATTGTCAGCGGCTTTCGTAAGTATGCCGGGTTCAATGCCGCGACAGTAACCATCTTTGTTCTTTCAACACTAATGGAACAAAGATTCATTATAATTTTGAAACGCTATTTTCGATTTTGATTATACATTTTCGCGTACAATGGAATAAAATCATTAGGGGCAAAGTTATTTTACTAACATCATATGAAAAGCCACGACAACCTCCAAATGTAAATGGCAGTATTCGTTCTACTGCATCTAATTGAAGACGAAGGAAGAACATATTGTGAAATTTTTACAACGGAACACGAAGTAATTATTTAGATACATTGACATATTTAAATAAAATAATTTTTTTGTCAGTGGTGGTCTAGTGGTTAAAAGGCCCGCCTCTCATGCACGACTGCGCGGGTTCGATCGAGGCCCGGGCAAGTACCAATGTAATTATTCCGAGTCATATGTACCTACTTTCTAAGTGTATTTAGACATCACTGATTAATGCTGATTCCCAAAAGAGGGTTGATGCCAGGCAGGCGGCCGGTCGTAAAAACAAAATAGTCAAAATTATTCACAACATGTAAGACAGATCCTGGCTCTAGCTAGGAAATTGCTAGGTAGAAGAGGAGATTTAAATAAAATAAAATATTTGTAATATGACACCCGATCAATAAGAATTGACCATATTCTTCCTACTAATTAAAACAATGATAAGAACCTTCTTCAATCGCCTTATCAGTCTCCTCTGTCTCCGCAGCAGAGTCTTTCCACACCTCCTCAACCTCTCAATCCATCTGCACTTCACCGGCATCAAATCCATCAAATCCCACACACCATTAGACATTATCACATTACTATACACAGATGCCACGTGGCACTAATTCACACCAATTATACACAAATTCTGTTATATATACCACCTGTAAAATACAATTAAACATATATAAAGCTATTACATATCTTATACATGTATTTGGACTATAAGACTGATTTACGAATATGAGAATAATGTTCATATATGTAGTGTTTTACGTATAATTTTTTTGCGTATTTTATTTCGTCGGACACAAAAAATATGAAGACAAAGATCACTTTAATGAAACATCATTTAGTGTTTGTGATACTTTATAAATTACTGTTCTAATCTGTCGTCAATTAATTTGTTTTACGTAATTTTCGTAAAAATATTATTGTATAAGGACAAAACTTTAGTAAATTTTCTCTAATCGCTATTCTTCTTACATAGCTATATATGTATAACTATATATTTTTCTCTACCTCTCTCTCTCTATATATTTATATATATAAAATCTTAATTTCATACACAAGATATGTATGTCATTCTATAAGAGATTATTCACCCTAACGTAGTCATATTTTAGAACAAGTTGTAGTTCAAGAGCTAATGCATAAGAAATTTCATTAATTAATTAATAACTATTTATATATTCAATATTTATCTAAATATTTTAAATCAACCTTAGATATGTCGCCAATGTCATTTCCTTAATTATTATTTAACCTTGATATATGAAATTATTAAATAATAACATCGAATCGCTCTAGAAAAAGCGTTAAAATATTATGTTATGTATAAAATTTGAAGTAATCCTCATTTTTGTTTTTAATTAAACGCGCGACTGCGCATAAAATTTTTACTAAAAATAATTTTAACCTTGAAATTATAATTCATCCCTCTATGTATATTTAATCGAGGGTATAGATAAATGTGAAATCGGTACAATGATCATCATATGGAAAGACAGATTTTTCAACTAGTCTATTTAGTATTTACTCTTAGTGTCACTATCAAAACTATAGTAATGATATAAAAGATTCTTCACACTACATACGGATCGTAAGAACGTTTTTGATGCTTATACCTAATTTGATACTATTACGTATATAGATACTTTAATAGAAAACTGGAAACGTCACGTACGTAGTGACGATGCAAACTTATATTAAGAACATACATTTTATTTCCGATACGGATGTTTTTATTGAGATCAAAATACCGTAATGGGAACGAATATTACGTATACATGACGAAACTTAAAAGTCAAACATCATGTTACGTATATTATAAAAAGTTAATTCGATGCAAAAGGCTACATTTTTATCAGTACATAACATTGTTACGTAAAAAATTTGCCAATAGGCGATATACGAAACTGGGTACTGTAAACTATACGAGTTCTCAAAATGTGTCATCGTGTTATATTCAACCGACAGCGAATAGGGAGGTTCTGTTAGTTATAGTGACAAAATATTAACTTGTTTTGTTCGTCATATCTTTACGATCTTCGCATTATTACTTCAATTGTTCAATAACTGGAAATACTTCAATATATTAATTTTGTCCAAAGTAAATATTTACAAACCAATTAAATTTTATCTTTCAAAGAACCACTCACATTCGAATAATACTTAAAATGACGTTAAGAATTATCAGCACAATATTTTAATGTTTATTATTATTTACATAAATACACATTATATATTATATAACTGATTTTGGTTCTCTATTTTTTATAATTATCAATATAATTATCATCAGCTAGAATAGAAAGCTAGCCGGACGTATTTTACCTTCCACATAATTTGAAAAACAAATTTAATGTATTAAATATATGTATATATGAAACAACGTCTTCATAACCTTCACATTAAAACAGATCTAATTACATTCCGATAAGAAAACATAATAATATTTGCATGATGCAAACAAACAATATTCAATTAATATTTTTAACATCACCGTTAGTATGGAATTGGAAACCGTATATCAATTAACTAACAATGATTCATTATCGTGAACACAACAAATGAAAATCGAATGCAAAAAAAAAGTTGCGTTATATCTACATACACGTAACACGAAATATCCGTCACAGTATAATGTAAATAAACAAAACTATTTAAAACCCATTTATATAAAATTATATGAAAATTATCCTAGGCTTATATTATTTGCTTTAAATCTAAAAGAATTGTATATGTATTAAATATAATATATATATTATTATGAGTTACATTAACGGTGTACTGGTAACTATATGCGCGCGCGCACGACCGCTCTCTGACAAAGCGAATGCAACACTGCAGGCTGCAGACTCTTTCACTGGTTACACAACCGTTACGCAACCCGAGCCTTTCCAACTGCATGTAGCAACGAAGAGATTAGCAACCGGTTCCGGTTTTTTTTTATATACATTTAGTTGCAATGGAACTGATGTAGACACCTTTTGTTTCACTATCCGCGGTGGGCGTCATTACGGAATTTTTGTTCCGCGTTAGAAAATCTTTCGAAATATCTTGTGATGGTCATCCCTTGTATACAGCGAGGATCCGTCTTTTTCAGAATTATGTTAATTCAGTACCAAAATAACCTTTTATTTATCTAATTTATTAATCTATCTGAAATTTTGTTTTTAATTTTCAGTTTCGTGTCTTATATTTGTTATAATGTGTTATTGTTCCCAAGACTTAAATTTTATCGAAATGGAGAAGAGATAAAAAGACAAAAAGATGAGGACAAAATTTAAAATTTTCCGTTACATAATATACTTAACTCAGATGTACGATTTAAGCACATGAAGGTACATATAATATAATTTTATAAGCGAAATTGTTGAACAATATTTGTATTACGAATTTAGAAAGTCGATAGATTTAGTTATCTATTATTATTACTGGCACAGACAACTTGAAAGCATAAAATATTGCACTTTCCTATAATGCTAGTAGTACATTATTGTCAGGGAAGTTTAGTTTTGAATAAAATATTTGAAAGTATAGGACATTTTTTGTATCACGTACTAGAGAAGACTGACGTTGCTATAAAGATATAAAAGGCTAAATATATTTTGGCTATGAAACCTCTATCCGTGTACACTTACCTGTAGGTCAAGGTCACCGATTTATTATAAGCTATAGGCTTCCGAACCATTAGATATGATATTTTATTCCTCAATACATTTTAAAATAAATAACTAAATGAAAATATGTTTAAGCCATTCAAGTAATACTCAAATATATCAAAACATTCGTAAGGGCATACAGGGCATTTTTTTTTCACAGAATACACTCGAAGCTACAAAGGAATATTAAATACATGTACTGCTATGTCACGTTTTATGTTGATTTGTTTTAAATAAATATTAATAAAAAATATATTTGATACTAAATACTATTGAGTGTCTTACAAGTAATTTACAAAATCCTAGTTCGAAATGAAATCTGTTTCGCAAACACTGGGCCCTTCACAAGTAAGTACCTTGAATGAAAAACGATACAATATTTTTAATATACATTAATCTAATTTATTGGTATAGCCAATAAATAGTAATTTCTAAATGATGACGAAACTCTTAATCCTCATAAATTATTAAGAACTTTTGTTGAAAATTGTCTTTTTATTATTTTTATTCATACGCAATTTTAAAACGGTAATAATTTAAAAACATGAGCAGCGCCTGGTCTGTTTTAATACTTATTAAATACATAGTACTCTTATATGGCATATTGCTATCTCATTTTTATTAAAATACATATAATTAAGTATTTTTATCAATTTAGACACAAGAGTAATTTCTTATAAAGTTCCTAAGAAATATGTGTCAAGTAGAAAAATTACATATTACAAGTGTTATCAAAGGCATTTTTTTTATTTCATTTTATATTATACATAAGTGTCCAAACTTTCTCTGATCCAAACATTAACGAAACAAATCCCACGCACATAAAACGTTCTTATTAAGAGCCTTACGCCGCCTTAATTAAATACATACATATACATAATAGCTACTGTGAAACCAGTAGGCGTTTAGGTGAAATCTAGTTAAGAAACACTTAGATTTCCTGTATCACGACTTAAAATAATAAACATAGCATGGAATAGAAAGGAGAAAACGCGAATACATAGTTTTACAGACCAAAATAGGTTTCAAAACTAGTTGTAGACCAACTTTCTCTACAAGAGGATCTCTATTCATAACAATTTATATAAATATCATTGAATATATAATTTAACACGGTGGCAATTCTATTAAACTCATTAATAATAATTGAAGCAGATTTTTTAATCATTATTTTTTTTCTTGTTATTCATGGATCATGGATCATGGATTGTAGATTTAGAAAACGAATAGACCTACAGTCTGCAAAACACGAAAGTGACCAATTTATTGTACCTACATAAATAAGACAACAATTCCATCCCAAATAAAATAGGTTTTTAAGTTATTAGACATTTAATTAATTAGACATTTAATAACACAAGATTATATGTGTATAAATATGCAACTGTAACACATAATATTAGTAAAAAATAATTTCAAAGTACGTAGAAAATATATCGAATTTAAACTCTTTTAAAATTGCAACATATTTCTCATCCCTGGGACCTATATACATCCACGCTTTTTTTGCAAACAAAAATACTTGAAGCTGTTATTGTATCTATAGTTTATAATTGCTACAAGCCTGTTCCTTACTTCGTGTCTCAATGCCAGTAATCTTGTATAGACGTATTGTTTGCTGTTATTTTTATAAGAACAGGTTGTTAACCGGAATTGTATGACAGGACAATGAAGGATGATTCTTTCAATAAAATTAATCATTAGGTTAATTGCGACTGGGTTAAAAATACGGCACTTAAAATATTACGTACGAACCAATATACGAGTGTTATATACTGAAATATTTAATTGCAAAATTGTAGTCCAAAGAATTAAAATTAACAATACATTTAAAAGATAATACAGAGTTGTGAATGTATTATTGCAAATTTCTTATATTCCTTGACCACGTCATTATCGATTATCAAGTAGGTTTAGAGGT